TAGAGATCTACTTGGTTTTAACCATTTTTGGAGTTTAAAATTTTATAATTAGATATGAAAATAGATTTTCAGATAATCCTAAGAAAATTTACCCCAAAATTATATGTCATGATAAGATTTGGAGGTGCGTCTTAATTGGATTGTTTAAGGTTGCAGCCTTATAGAAACCGCACCCATAAAAAAAAATTCATAGGAACCAAACAGTTCGGAAGTTATGATGGTTTTTTTTCCTGATAGAATCAGTGGGTTTTTTTGGGAACCGCCTAGTTCTTAGTATTTTAAAGGAACTGGTTTTGTCAGGAAATGCCCAGTTTTTAGTATTTTAAAGGAAGTGGGACGGTCTTGATAACTCTTGGGTTGAATCCGCCCCATTTTTAAAATCTTGACTAATCTTCATTCAAATAACCCATGTTTATACAAGGCTGCAACCTTCATAGAACTAAGATGCACCTCAAAAATCCAATAGAAAAAAGTGTTTTGAAAAAAAGAATTTTAAGTTACAAAATAATATATTTTGTAATAAGTAGTTTAAAAATAATGTTACAAAGTTGCAAAATAATATCATTTTATAACAAGTTGTTTGTTTCAAAATAATGCATTTTGTAACAAATTGTCTAGACCGACTTCTTAAAACGAGTATTATTTGGCCCACCCCACCTCTTTATTTTATTTTTTTTTCTTTTTTACCATTCTTCCAAATTTTATTTGAATATTTACAGAGCCCACCACAACCACAATAAGCAGACCACGCCATTCCATAATGCTCATAGCCCTTATTTTATATAGGGCCTTACTCTACTGTAAGTTTTCTTCTCCCTCGATGCGAGATTTTTTTTTTTTCTTAATTTATGTTTTTGCACCCAACAATGTATGCAAGTGGGTTTCTATTATGAAATGGGTGCGGTTTGTACAGAGCCGAGGCTCTAAACAATCAAGGTTTTACAGAGTCGAGGCTCTAAACAATCAAAGTAAAGCACACCTTCAGATAGTGTTGAGAAATGTTATTCCAATACTGAAAATATTTTGTGATAGCCTTAAAATATAGGGTGCGGTTTGTATAGAACCGAGGCTCTAAACAATCAAATTAGAGCCCACTTTCAAATAGTGTCGAGAAATGTGGTTTCAATACTGGAAATCTTTGACTAGCCTTAAAACATAATTTCATCTTTAATTATAAAATTTAAAACTTCAAAAATGAAGAAATCTATGAAAACTTATATAACTTAAAAATTGATGGTCCAAAAATGCATTACAAAATGCACTATGTCCAAAACTCATCTTTAATTATAAAATTTAAATCTTCAAAAATGAGGAAATCTATGAAAACTTGTATAACTTAAAAATTGATGGTCCAAAAATGCGTTACAAAATGCACTATTTCCAAAACTCATATTTAATTATAAAATTTAAAACTTCAAAAATGAGGAAATCTATGAAAACTTGTATAACTTAAAAATTGATGGTCCAAAATGCGTTACAAAATGCACTATTTCCAAACTTGAAATCTTTTTTTTCCTCAAGTCCATCCATTTTTATGTCGAGATGATCAACTTGAGGATATTTGGGCATCAAAACAACCTCTTCTAGTGAAATTTTTGAGGTAGGCACTAATTTGATTGTTTAGAGCCTAGGCTCTATATAAACTTTTCCCTAAATTATATTGCTCTTTCATCTTTAATATGATACAACCGTTGCATTAGATCATTGATCTTTTATCTTTAATTATAAAATTAAAAGGTTAAAAATAGTGTAGATCGAGCATATCTATGAAAACTTGAAAATCTTGAAAACTGACAATTCAAAAATAAGTTACAGGATGCACTATTTCTAAAACTTGAAATCCATTTTCTCTCATGTCCGTGCATCTTGATGTCAAGATGATAAATTTGAGGATATTTGAGCATCAAAACATCTTCTAATGAAAATTTTGAGGTGGTCTCTAATTTGACTGTTCAGAGCCTTGGCTCTATATAAACTTTTTCCTCATGAAATATCTATAAAATTGAGCCAAGTTTTCGTTATTTCGCCGAGGATTTGGGGACTACAAGGGAAACAATAAAATTCGGCTCTTATATATGGAAAATCAACTAGTAAGATTCAAGGGATGATTATTATCATTAAGTAGGGGCATGGGATTTAGGCATGTTCCCCTAACTTTGACAAATATTTCCTCTTTCAAATCGGTGACTTGGATGGCGATTTGGAAAACTGTTATTTGGTGGTGGCATCATCGAGCTCCATGGTAAGGTCTTTGACTCTATTCTCACCAAAGGGTAATGGCCAAATCCCTACTGATTTACCATAGGCAGGGGCTCGTCATCCCCATTGAATTACCCAAAACATTTTTGGAAAACCGTTCTAAATTAAAAAATATTATGTGTGGGATTATTTGTATAGTTGTATGTGTATATGTATGTATGAGAGAGTTGTCCAATGTGTTTTTGTGTGCACGTTAGAGATGGAAGGTGTATCGTGTGTTTGAGAGAAGAACCAAGCACAAAAATTATAAATGGTACCACAAAATTAGTATCAAAGTACAAAAATCACTTTCTCCCTTGTTTCTTTACTAAAACTCACAAATTAAGTATCAAAACTTTTGGAAAAGTAATGCATCAAAATTAATGTCAAAAAGTAATGTATCAAAACTTCTGTAAAAGTAATGTATCAAAATTAATGTCAATATTCAGGGTGGCCAATCTGGGTTATCGATATGTTTTCTTTAAATGTTGTTAAGAAGCTTTTATACAATATTAGAAAGAAGAGCAATGAGTACATGCAACCGTTGCATAGTATTATGATGCAACAACATTAAAAAACCATTTTATGGCCATTTGTTTGATCCAAATTTTGAAGCATACACTCTTTTCATTCTAATGAACAATTACAAAAAAAGAAAAATTGAAAACAACAATTCTAGAAAGTATTTTTTTAGCCCAATTAACATAGGCCGTTCATTTTGGTGTAGATGCTTAGATCTAGCCTTAGAAGGATATTTTCATTTTCCAATTTTCTTGGATTGCTTTATTATCATTAGATGAACACGTTAAAAAATAAAAAAATGATTTTGAGTTAATAAAGGCTAAGATCTTGAAATTCACAAAATGAATAGTCTAGATTCATTTTTGGAGGGGGACTCATTTTGACCATATCTAGGATTCAAATTGAACTTTTTTTTTAGGATTGATTATTGAGATGAAGAGAACGTATGTGTAGAATTTGAGGTCATACAAATACCACAAACATGGTTTTCTAGAAGTGTCGTTGCGTTATTCTATGATACAACCGTTGCAATGGATCATTGCTCTAGAAATAATAGAGGTACACAGTTTTTATGAGCCCATGTAGAAATGAGTCACTTCTTAAAAATCTATTTTTGAAATCGCTAACATGGAGATCATAAATATGAAAAAATTAATAGATTTTAAAATTTTAAAATAATAACTCTATTAAGAAAACATTGGACCGTTAGTTTCATTTGTTTTTAAATGGACCACCTATTTGTATCCATCTTTAAAATGGATGTTTTATACCTTGGGACCGCATATTATAGAAATGCGGTCCAGCCCGCATGAAACAATTTTCCATAGTTAAAGTAAAAAGGCCAAATATACATATATATGTTTTAACTCTCGATTGATGGGGCAAGTTATTTACGAACAAATATGAGTCAAATTATTGGCTCAGCGATCTAGATTGGGTCTAGATCGGTGATCCAAAAAATTTAAAAATAAATAAGTTTTTGGGTGGGGATTTAAGGGAACTGTAAGAAAAATATTAAACAAAATTAAAAAAAAAATAGAAAGAAAGAAACAGTAAAGGGGGGGGGGGGAAGGGATTAAGGGGAAACGGCCACGATAGACGTGCCATCCCAGAACCGGTTCAGGGCCAATAGACATCCATCAAGATGGGCTATCCGGGTCATCGAAGTCGTGAGTCCTCAACGTTCATTTTCTGCAAATTCTTTAAATCTCAAATCTGCTTACTTCATGGTCATTTCCAACCAGCAGGGAGAGAGGCCCCAGCTCACATCCTAAGCCCCTCTCTCTAGACTCTGAGTTCCCATGAATATTCTATCCACCACTCTCTTCTTTAGATTCTGAGTTCCCCTGAAATCCTTCTGCCACACCCACATTGAGCACCTGCCTTTTTACATCCCCTCTCTTTATATAAAACCCACAGAGCTGCTTCTTCTCTTTTAAGTAACGGCAACCCCGTTTCAGTTGCCAAAGCCCTAGGCTTGGTGGCAAGCAGTGAGAAGGGCACGTTCTTTCTCTGCCATCTCGATGGATTGTTACGATTTTCGTCCGCACCTCACTTCAAATTTTTCATTCTGAAGAACTCATATTTACGTTCTTGAGAGAAAGAGCATTAAAAATCACAAGGAGTAATAAGAAAGCATCAACATTCACAATGAGTTGTTTGCTCTCTCTGATCAACTAGAAGCTTAGTATGACGTGAAACTATTCGTAACCATGTATTGTCAAAAAAACAAGAAAAAGTGGACTATGGATCTCTGATCTCTACATGTATTGTCAAAAAACAAGAAAAAGTGCAACTAGACGTAGATAGAGAATTGATTTCTTTTTTGAGAACTGTTATCTAAGTAGAAAATTGATTTCAATGGAGAATAGATACAAAAAAGATATTATTCATAATACTCTTTGAGAACTGTTAACTAAGTTGAGAATTGATTTCAATGGAGGAGATACAAAAAAAGATATTATTTAAAATACTCTTCATCTTTTCTTCACTGTAGAGAATAGATTTTGATGGAGAAGAGATGCAAAAAAGATATTATTTATAATACTCTTCATCCTTTCTTCATTGGATTTGAAACAGAATATGTCTGTTTGAATGAATGACTTCATTGGATGGTGATGATCCAACTGTGGCTTATCCATAGTCCATTAAATTACATACTTTCATATGATATATCCTGCAAAAACCAAAAAAGTGGCCTGAATTTGCAACTCAATTCTTCACATGAAATATCCTGTAAAAACCAAAAAAGTGGCTGGAATTTGCAACTCAATTCTTCATGAAAGATCAGTTTATTCACATGCCTAAGACTATGGCCTATGTTTTATAGTGTAAGACATCATAAGAAAGACTGAGCTATAGTAATTCAAACAACTGCAAGCCAAGTTCATCTGGCTTCTCTCCATCTCTCCTAGGCAGCTGGTCCAATCTTTCCTTCACTAAAAGTTCTTGCTAATGGTACACCAGGAAAAAAATCAGAAAATTCTGAGCTATCAACATTTTTTTCACCAAAAAATGGTGCCCTGCGAGCTGTACATGCAAAGACCAAGCCTCCAAACACAAGTGTCTCCGAACCATTTCGCATGTTTATTGGGCAGCAATCTTCGCTTCCTTTCTGTCTCAAAACCCTAAGTTGCTCACGAACGGCATTGTGTGATGCCTGTGCGACCTCTACATTGGGAACATAAAAGCAAAACTTATCTTTAGTTTCGATTCCTTCACCTTCGACATTGAGGTACATCTCGTCCGTGCTGTAAATGAGACGGAAACCAGAGTGTTGGGCTCCAAATTCTTCAAATGTGTTAAAAGTGCAACACTCTTCATTTCCATATCCATGCAATTCGAGGGGACAAGGATCCAATGAATGGAAGAAAATCGAAACACTGTGTTCGATCTTAAAGGACAATTGAGTAATTATCTTGAATCTTATAAAATCCATGATACGCAAAGGATGAAACATATTTTCTTTTCCCAGCTGCAATGAAATGCTTTCTTCGCTTTAAAACTCCAATATAAAGATCCCCATGGATTTCATTGCCAACCTGCCAGAGTATTATAACAGTAAGAGAAGAAAATGATTCAGTGGGCAAAAAGGAAAGACATGCATACATAAAGAGAAACTACACAATGAGATGAATCAGGATTATGGTCACTTGGTATTTTAACTCTATATATAACTCCTTGAAAGAGAAAGCCACAAATAAAAAATATTGTTAATGGGTAGTCTTGATTTCAAGTTGAACTGTTAATACTCAACAAATCAAAAGAAAAGACAGCCTAGTATGCCGAACCAAAAGCAATTCAATGCATCACCATTAATGATGACTTCTATCTAAACGAAAACCGGATCCAACTAATGTTGACATTTATGGATCTAAAGTATGATCCAGGTAAGAAATTTGTTAGTGGTTCTCGCTGACATAAGTAAAATGTATGATTTCTAACCCATGTATCAAGGAAACTCGTGTCTATGGGTCGTGGTGCATCTTGACCCATTAGGGACACAAACCCATTTGTCACAATTTAGAAATTTAGACTTTTTTGGTTGAAATTTAGAAATTTCTAACCTACATATCAAGGACAAGCATGAATCCAAATGTTCCATATTTTTGTTTTAGTATAAACATTGTTAAAAAGATTTGCGACATTTAATAATACATTTAGAGAGCTCTTAATTGAGGAACTTATCAAATTTATGTAAGATAATTTTTGTGGCTGCTAAGTGATGTTCAAAACTTACGTATGCAAATCAACATAGAAAGAACTATAAATATTAGAGGTATATGATAGATCGAACCTCATTCTCAATATCTTCCCAAATCCTTGGACCATCAAGTGCATTGGGGAGCCCTTCTCTTCTAGCAGTGAGCCATGTTTCTTGCAGACTTGATCTAACAGAAGCTACCTTGTACGAAGGACCCCTAGGTTTTAAGCCAGTTGATGCAGCTGAAGTAAAGTGGATTTCATGGACATCTGCCTAGTGTAATAGATAGTTTAAAATAGGTCAACACTCTGACAATTGTGAGGCAGCCTAGTTTACCCTTTCTAATGACAAGGTAAATACACCCACTTATTTGTCTTCTTGATTGCCAAGAACAAATGCACCACACAAAGAAACTATAATTCAAATGGATAACCAGATAATTTCCTGTAAATTTCTGAACTGCTGCTTTCAGATTATAACAGACAACGATAATGATAAAAAGAAGGAATGAGAAGGAAAAAAAGTTCAATTTGTTATAAATTTTACTCCACATTTATTCATTCACATGCTTTTTTGAAAGACTGTGGACCCCCTAGCTCCAGGTGTCCTTTCTTAAACAATATTAGCACAAAGAGAAACTGAACACTAATCATATGCTTCTAAAAGACAACAAAAAATGAACTGATTTGAATAACAATAATTATTCCTTCATAAGGAAGACTCATAGAAGTATCTTTGTAAGTTCCAATATTATATCAAAATTACTATTACGTAGAAAAACAAAGCTACAACAAGAACCCATGAAATGAACTCATGCAAGAACTAATCAACGCAAAACGGTATATCTCAAAGTTTCATATGAAACTTTATTGAGAAACAACAAGGTAAATCAGATTCACTCCCAAACATGTTTTCTCCAACAATTATTGCGCATATAATTCCTTTTCAAGGAGCTCAGCTCAAGTGCCTCAAGGCCCTTCTTTGACATGATAACCCTTCATCACATTCTTCTCTTTGTCACACATCCAACCAGAAGCGACCTTTGATGAATTTCCATAAACCCTTCATTCAAAATAAATAGGTAGAAGCGGGTAAAACTTGGAGTCTTAGACTCCTCTATCAAAGTACAATTCACACAGTAAACAATTCACACAGTAACAAGTATTCTAACTCCAGTTGTATTTGATAAGTATGAAATATCTTGTCTTTCTTGCTAGTCACTTCAACAACTCCAATCTAAAACCATTTTCAATTCTCAAAAAACAAATGATATATTTCTCATTTCTAATGTAGGATTTCATTATCATCGGATAAGTTAGTTATTTCATAAACCTGAAGCTTTTGAAAAAGTACCCCGAGTACTATATCTGTCCTTCACAAATACAAGAGCAACTGCATCAAGTCTATGATTATCATCCATCAGCAGTTTGGGGTGCAGCCTTGATTGAGGGGCCAAACACAAATCTTGATTTTTCCTCATGGTTCTTGAGCAATTGCCAGCACTATATAGGAAGCTACTTGCTTTTTCTTCAGCAGCAATGCCACCAACTATAGAAGTTTGTCCATGAAAAGCATCATCTGGAAACAGAAAATAAAGTACAACCGAAAAGTTTAAAATCATGGACTTGCCAAATGATCATATATTTTTTAGTATCTTAAAGAAAAACAACATCATTTAAGAAGAAAAATATGCATTAAAAAATAGTAAGTAGAAGAATTGTATCATGGGAATGAAAAAGGAACATCAAAGATGAAGCATTAAGGTAGAGCTGAAAAACCAGATTAAGTACCACAAGTTTTTCACTTAAGAGAGACAGACCCGCATGCCCAACAATCCTAATGAAAGGTCAAAACAAAGCAACCCCATGGAAAGAAAAAGAAAACAACGAACACATGTTATGAAGAGTGACAGTTAAGTTCATTTTGGCTAATACCTTCATTCATCAAAGGTCACAATCAATCACAATTACAAATGGCCCATACACAAACACGCCTTATATCATGAAAGAAAAACATGCAAGGTGAGGGTGTGTTTGTATCTAAATCCCACATGAAAGGAGACTAAGAAGAATGAAATAATATTTCATTTATTTCAGAATAAATAAGAAAATATCCAAAAATATAGAAAACAAAAATTCTACAAATATATGACAGACTCCAAAACATAGGATTACTTACATTCTAGCAGGGGCAGGGTATTTTATGGATTAGGGAAACAAAAGGCCCCCCCAAGATACTGGCATATGTTTGTGTTTCAGAAAGGATCATACTCAACTATCACCTGACAAATATTTTTATTGGCACACATATCCGAGTCTAAATTTTGGGAAATTATTAAAATACACCTATAATATCAGCTAATATTCTACCCTTTTTTAACTGTTCCAACTCATGATCATATGTCCCTTGATGGGCTTTTTGAAATTGGGTTAAATATTAAATAGTTCATCTCTTATGTGATTTTTTATTAATTTCCCTTGAGTTTTTGATAGAGATTGTAAGATCTTGTTTATGTTAAAAAAAAACGAAAGGAAAACAAAGGAAAACATGGGCAGCAAGAAGAAATAACACCAAAGGCACAAAAAATAAATCAAAATATGCGCACTACAAGGCAAAAAGAACAACCAGAAAAAAAAAAACTGAAAAGAGAAATACTTTCTTGTTTATCAAAATAATCTATTTATGATAATCCATTAAGTTTAATTAGCAAATAGAAAAGACACAAAAAAATTTGTCTTCAAGAAAAGACAATGAAACTAGTTTGACGATATTTCATGAGACTACTCATGAAGTTCAAATTCGGCTTTATTGATGATGTGTGAAACATTAATCACATAACTAAATTCCAAACAAAATTTCCAACTGACAACCATCTTGGGTACCCTTCAATTTCGTTTTTTTTCTCATTAGGGTTAACAAAAACTTTCTTTGCAAAGTTTCATACAGATGTATGTTAAATTAGATAAGTTTCTACATGGCCTTTTCAAAGCTTCTTTGTTGGTTAACCTTGGCAGTTTCATCAGAAGTGCTAGGTAACATGTAGCACATGTACTCCAAATGGCTACCTGAAGCTCTCAAGAAATGAAATATCTAAAATAATAAAACAAATATTTCATATAAAAAATGCCCAGGAACAGAGCCTAGGTGGTTCGATGTGGAAGTCATCGCTTCTTAAAGTAACTAAATTGGAGGCCCAACACTTGCTTAAAGTTAAAACATGTTAGACGTGGATGTTTAGTGGATCTATGTCTAATCAATTAGGTATAATGAACCTATGTAACTCCAATTGTCTTGTATTTCATTACCATCTTGTCTTTAATTCACACAACTGATTGAAGCTTTAGAATACACAATCAAAGTTCAAAAGTCAAGTCCTTTTGCTATGAAAAACCCTGTATACTTTCAAAGTTCATAGTGAAAGTTTAAGCATAACAGGTTACCTTAATGATCGCATGTGAAGTCAGCATCATAGGCAATGGAACTAACAGATAACACACATACTGTCACAAGAATTAGAAGCACAAAATCATAAACAACTACGCACTAGCTGTAAATGCAGATATGGCTAATGCTACTATTTCCAGATATTTTTGCAAGTAAATTCCTCTGTGATCCCGATGATTTTAGCATGGACTAAGGAATTGCCTCATGTGGTACTTGTTATCAATAAGTAACAATACAAGCAACCCGTGAATATTTGAGATCTGAGAATAAGAAGAAAAAGGATAATTTGTGCAAGAATAGTTGATTCTTACCCATCATTTGAAGAATATATCTCAAGTTGGGCCTATATTCCTGAAAGATTTGTATGCAATACTATCACTTCTAGAACCATATCACCACACATATATTTCTCTTACCACAATAGGCTTATAGAAATTCAGGTTTCCACAAGGTACAATGGAATATTTCAAATACTGTAGCTTACAGCAATCATCACAATCCCCATAGGGATCGCAAAATCTGAAGCTTCTCTGGTGAAGTTGTTAACATCAGTCAAAAAGGAATCCACCCAACTTTGAGTAGATACCTGATAATATCATTATATAAAGCTCCATTAATCAGTATCAGTTGTATGATAACAAATCAGTGGTAAGGAAGAAATAAACCACCACAGGCCAACATAATATAGTGCAAAAACAAGACAACTAAGCAGGAAAATTGTACAAAGGTTTGTTTCCGAGCATAATCCAATTATTCAATTTGTTGCATGACAATGACACTCACCCCAAACAATGAAATCTTCCAGTTTTTGTTGTAATTAGCATGTATATATATATATATACAAGACTAATATTCAAAGCTGGAAGGCACCCAATATGCATTATTGATTTTCAAAATTCTAATAGATGTTGGCCAATGCAAGGACGGGCACTACCACATGAAAATAGGAAGTCACAGTTATCTAGGCTAATCCAAAAAATAGAAATACCAGCAGCATCAACTCTATGGCTAATCCAAAAAATATAAATATCAGGCCTTATACTAAAAAGCATACCCTACATTAATTCTGTACAGCCTTATCTAGGAGTGTTTTTAGGACCCTCAGTCTTCAAGGATGTAACCTTCTCAACAAAGTGACCAATCTTAACAATCAAAACATAATGGGAAAAAAAAAAGGAGAAAAATTCACACTCTATGTGCCTGAAAAAGAATAATGTCATAAGAATGGATAGTATCTGTCCAATTTTTGGGACTAAAAAAATTTTAAAGTGGACCCCAAAAATTTTTTTTTAAAAAAATCCACCTATAAAGGTCTTTTGCCCAAAGAAATATGTGTCTAGTTTGCGCTCTAGTGGGAGTATAATGTAAGCTCTCTCTCTCTCTCTC